GAGTCGAGGTTATCGCTGGCGAGGGAGGTGGCGTAGGAACGCGTTGATGCCATTCATCGATCAGCACAAACAACGCACGTCGCAGTTCGTCGCAGGGCGCGAAACAGCGCACGCGGCGGTGGCATCGTAGGGCGCGAAGGGGGAAAGCACGGACGGGTGAGAGTGGAGATCGGGGCAGCAGAGACGATCGAAACGAAACGCTAGGGTTCACCATGGGGCGGAACCCTAGCGAAACGTTAGGGTTCACCATGGGGCGGAACCCTAGCAAAGCGTCGGGACGACATGGATATATGATGGTGACTTTTTATCTAAACTATCTCCTAAACCATCTCTATATCGACAACTTGTTGAGAGTCTCAATTATTTGACTATTACACATTCTGATATTTCATTTGTTGTACAACAAGTTAATCAATTTATGCAAACCCCTACACATCTTCATTTAGCTACAGTTCGACGTATTGTTCGTTCGGTATTTGAAAGGTACTTCTCATCGCAGTTTGTTCTTTCCTGCGGAGTCTCATATCACCTTAACAGCCTATAGTGATGTCAATTGGGTTGATAGTATTACTATAGTATTACTGGATGGGTATTACTGGATGGTGCATATTTCTCGGTAATTCTTTAATCTCTTGGAATAGCAAGAAACAAGATCGAGTGTCTTAGTCATCTACTGAATCAAAATATCGCATTATCTCCTCTACTTATTTCGAAATCATTTGGCTTCATGGTGTGCTGGTTGAGCTTGGTTTTCCTCAGCTTGAGTTTACTTCTCTTTATGCAGATAATACTAGTGCTATTCAGATTGTTCCTAATCCCATCTTCCATGAGCACACGAAACACATTGAAGTAGAATGTCATTCCGTTCGAGAAGTTTGTAATGATGGTTTTATATCTCTTCCTCATATCACTTCTAATCTTAAAACGACTCATATATTTACTAAGGTTCTTTCTCGACGGTGTCATCAGTTTCTTGTCTACAAATTGATATTTCTTGATCAGTCAGCATCAATTTAAGGGGGGATATCAATCAGGAGTAAATGAAATCAGGAAGAATAAAGAGTTTCTTTATTCGCAATACTGCAAAGAAGAAAATATTATATTTGCATGGATTATTTCCTTTTAGCTGAATATTTAGATTAGGAATATGTATTAATTAAATTACCTAAAATAAATTATACAGAATATTATGTTCCTAAAATAGATTGTACATACTATTATTTAATGGAATGAAAGCAAAGAAAAATGCATTCAGCTTATTTGCTCAAAATATTGACAAACACTGCATAAAGACCAATGTACATTGGGAGCACAACTTAAAACTCTAGGATATAGCCCTAGAAAGGGAAAGGAGGAGTCGGCACATCTACAAACTCAAATCAATCAAAAACTAAAGATAAACATCAAAAAAAATAATTAAATAAACCTATTATTAGGAGTGTGTCCCGCATCAATTGGGCGGCAACGCTAGGCCTAAAGATAGTCAAACAGCCCTTCCTCAACCTAGATCGAACATGTCGCGTCACATGCAAATTGTCTCATCAACATTTTTAACATACATATGTAATCATATGCATATAAATTACAAAACTTCAATAGAATCTTTTGTTTTGCACTTACAAAAAGACATTTTGACCACTATATAATGCATATAAAACACTGCCCTACATTTAAATTGAGTATACTTCAAAACAGCAATGATTTTTAAATTACTACCGCAACTTCCTTAAAATGATTAGTTCATATGAAATTTTTTGTTTATATAGTTTCAAAGAATTTCAAGCGTTTTAGTCTAAGAAAATTAAAATTAAGCTGAAACAACTAAAAAAAATGAAATCACCAAAAATCAATCAGCAACTCAACCAAAAAATGTAGTGATGATTTCAAAATTAATCAAAAGAAAAATTTTTGAAGAAAAAGTTATTTCTAATATTTAAAGGCTATTTAGAATAGAATTTATTTTAACAAAATCACTAAGCTATTGTAGCAGGGCAAGGCTAATGAAAAAAAAAAATTATCATGGAAGCAAAATTGAAACCAAGTTTAAAAGCATTGAAATCGACATTAATAGGTGGTTGATTAAAGTGAAGAAACTCTTAAAAAGGTCTTATTAATGAGATCAAAATAATAATAATAATAATTCAAAAATCCTGTGTTACAATCAAAAACCAAATGCAGTAGCAAACAATACACAGCTATTACTAATATTGAGAACGGATTACATTTAGGCCAAGAATCAACTATTTGCCTTCAATATATAGAAACCATGAAGACAGTTTAATAACGTGGAATTGCAATATAGTTTGTCAGTAATTGTTATTTTCATAAAAATTTATCGGAGGCATGAAAAGCAATCAAATAGATTAACAAAATAAAAAAGTAACCAATTGAGTAAAATAACACAACAAATGACCCGCAGTCAATTATCAAGCGTGGTTATTTGTTTAAAGTAAATAAAGAGCACACAAAACAAAAACAAAAACAGACATACCTTAACTTTTAAGGCTTGTAGATGGCCAAGGATATGGCTTGACTCATCTGAAATGTCCAGATGATCATATAGCTTTATCCTTGCATTAGGAAATGATATGTATTCTGCTAAGACTGATTCATTTGTAACAGTATAGACCTTAAAAAGATAATAAAAAAGGCATTTAAGTAGAAGTAATAAAACTAACCAAAAAAAAGGATCAAGTTAATTTGAAACAAAAGAATGCATTAAAAGAGTTACTTCAGTATATATTTGTCTAAGCTCTAAATGTTTGCTGAGAGTACTTCTCAAAAAATTATGCTCCGCCAAACTAAACAAACAAAAACTTGAGCTCCTGAGAAAAACAAAAAACTCGACCTCCTCTGAGAAAAAAGAGAACACACACAAGACCACACTCAAAGCAACGCAAATCTCCTACCCTACAATGGTGTGCGCTTCTTGAATAAGCAAAAAAAAAATGATTTTCAAGAAATATATAAGTCCTTTTTTTTTTGGGAGGGGGTTGAACAGTGATGGATTTTTAATTTATTCTTTGCAGTTGTTCAAAAAACAAACACAAAAAATATTTGCTTAGCCGCTATAAGTTACCTTCTCATACTTTCAAAACAAGACTTTCATTGTCAGGCACAAAAAATGCTTAACGAATACAAATAAGTAATTTTTCCATAGAAGTGCCTCATAAGTTTTAAAGCTTCTTAAACCTAGGTTGCTTTTGATAAAAAATGATAGACAATGCTTTTATTTAGTCAAACATGCTTATTTTCAAGGATCCTAAAAATATCTTTACAATAACATTGGTGAAGCCGCTTTTTTAAGGTGCATAGGAGCTATTTAAGGTTATAATATAATTAACGTTATCAAACACCAAAATATTCAAAGTACTTAAAGCATTTTTTACCATTTTTAAGAATGCCAAATCTTCTTTACCATACAAAAACTTAATTTGTTGATGCATGAGAAAGAAGACGAAGTTTCCTGCACTAACCTTTGAATGCATAAGATTCTCAAGATCACTTATTTGTTTGCGAAAAACAGCTGGGGAGCTTGAACCTACCAAAACATTTTAAAAAGGATGCTAAAAAAAAGTAAAAGAAATAAAAAAAAGGGAAATAACAGGAGAAACTTGGAAGACCTTCATGGATAAAAACAAAGTACCTTTTGTATTAGTAAGTGATGCGGTCATTCCAAATATTCTAGGAACATTAACTGAATTTAACCGTAGGTGCTCATGATAAAACTCCTGAAAGTGCAAAAAACAAAAAAAAAAAAATTCAACAAAACACCACACTGAAGCAATTAAAGAAAGGAAGATTTACATACATACCACTCAATTCCTATGTATTGACATATCTAACATCCAAACTTCAAGTTTTACATACAAACCAGCTTTCCTATGCATGAAAAGGTGTATTTCACATTTTAAAAGTACAAATGGTAGTATTTTTTATGTGAAATATTTGCTTGGTATGAATGTAAATAATAAACTTTAAATGTTAGATATATAAATACATAATAATTTAATTCAAGAAAACTGCATCTTCAAATATATATAGATTTTAGTTCATATATATTTGTGTCATAAAGTGAATTAGTATAGAAAGGAAAATTTAACCAAAGAGACAAAATGCATGCTAGGTTCTAATGACCTTACCGTCATAATACATGCATAGGGGTCTTTTCCTCTTGCATGGTGGCATTCATCAAATATTAACAGCTTTATTTGGTCCAGTTTAACAAAAGAATGTCGGAGGTTGTTGAGTAAAATTTGAGGTGTCATAACAAAGACCTATAAAAAGTTCATCAGATGAGATCAGATCAAAAAAAAAATACAATATTTTAAGAGAACATTCCACAAAGTAGCTGAAAATTCATGCATCCGTAGTGCGAAGGTGTTCATTTAATATGACTGGATTCAAGAGAAAAAGATTCATGTGGGTAAATAAACAAGCATTTCCTAATGGCATCAACTATCTTAACTTGTACATATATAAAGTAATAATAATAGTATAATGAACCAATCCTATAATGAAATCCTGGGTAAAAGAAATATAATGCAGAACATGATGATTACCAACATCCTCATTGTTCTAGTCAGTAACTTCAAACTTTTCTTTATTGAAGTCAAGCACAAGCTATGGATCTTCTTATTGTTGGAGCCTAGGGATCAATAAGAAAAGATGAAAAATAAAGATCTCACAAATTCATGACAAGGAAAGAAATAAGGATTCCATGGATTCATGCCAAGGAAATTAGCATATCAAGAATTCATTACAAAGAAATCAGTATTCCAAGGATCCATGCCAAAGAAAAAAATCATAATCCCAGGGATTCATGCAAAGTAAGAAAATCCAAAGCCAAGTTTTGGTAATATATTTATTCGCTTGAATTAGTTATAAATATTTTCCTAATTCATTCTAAGGTTAGTCTATATGATACCGGAGTTTAACCCACACCACGACGCAAGACAACATTTTACTAATGACTTAAACACAGTTACAACGATGACTCAAAAGAAAGAAAGACAATGCGCAAGTCAAAGCACAAAGCATACATCATAGATAAAGACTCAACAAACGAAAATACGACAAGCTCGGCGAGCAGGGATTATGGAGTTGTGGTAGGCGTTGGGAAAGGCCCAGAGAGATCTGTGGCTTGCTGGGAGGGAGGCGGCGAATGGCAGGACAACTGGGAAGCTATCGGTGGGGTGTTGGAAGGACAGCAATGGGGCTGCAACCTGCAGGACAGCAGTCTCGATGAGCAGCAGGGGCTGCAGCCTGCAGGAAAGTGGGTTGGATGGGCAGTTGAGGCTGCAACAGCCTGCAGGGAGGCTGCAGGAATGAACTGGCACTGATCTGGGAGGGCAACAGAGCAGGTTGGGCGGCTGTTTGGATGGTAAGGAGGCGTCGGAGGTGCCCAAAAGTGGTTGGAACGTTGGTAGACTGAAGGACAATGAGCAAAAAGAACAATTAAGATAAGCACAGCCTCGGATAGGGTACAGCCGAAGCACCTTCCTCGTCGTCAGATACAGCCATTAAGAGGGAAAATACTAAGTAAAATTGAAATCATATTTCAAAATCAAGACCCTTACTCTGGACACAAGAACTCTTATTTATAAAAGACTTTACTCAATTTTAAGAAAGATTAAAATAGAAGATGAATAATATCAGATTTCAGAATTTAGGCAAGACTTTTAAAATAGCGAAGGAAATAAAATCATATTTTAGATTTTAAGGCAAGGGTTTTAAAATTAGAAGGAGAATAAAACCATATTTCATATTTTAGGAAAAGACTTTTTAAAATAAAAAGAGAAAATAAATTATATTTCTTATTAGGAAATGATTTAAATTTAGAAAGTGCTTAGGAAGAAAAGGTGATGAGGAGAAAAAGTAAAAGGGAGAAAAGAAAAGGAGAACCAAAACGAAAGAGGGAAGAGGAGGGAGGAAACCCTCCATGTCATTCTCACGAGGTTGGGGGAGCTTCGACCTCATTCAACAAAGCATCTGGATCCTCATGGTACAGCGATAAGTCCTCGGGTAGGTCGATCATATCAGCGTAGTCATTCCACAACACATGCGGGTAGAATAGGTAGTCATCCTCTTCTGGCACATCCTGAGCTGGAGCTGCATATAGAGGAGGGTTCCCGTAATGCAACTCTCAAGCCCTTACATTTGAAATATTCTCCTTCCACTTCTCGTGTCTAGCATGCGGTGGTTGAGCAGTATGTAAGGAGAAGTCAATTCTGGGATAAAATATGTGGCAAGCTGCGCCACTCTCAATGGAACTCCCTCAAGCTCCTCAGGCCCACTACACATTTAGGATTCACCTCCTCTGTCAGGACATATGGTGATAGATATCATGCTGGACTGAAAATAACAGTTGAAAAATCCTCCGTAATATTTCTAACTTGGCACAAAATGAGTCATCTTCAGACATGTGGGACCTCTCCCAGTAGGATAACTTAGGAAGAGGTCTAACCATCTGAAAAAGTTTGTATTTCTTGTATTTCTTTATCTGTGATGACCCTGTATCAGATGTCGACTCATGAAGCTCGTGATCCTTCTGGAATGTCCAAGTCAGTCAAACTATAGCTCCTATCAAGGCCTGTGAAACAATACCTTAAGGTACCACAGTTTCATAATCTGCTTGAACGCTTATTACATCAAGGTAACTACCTTCCAAAACGGTTACTGTTACCTCAATTGAAATATCTATCTCGGGATCCACTGGAATTAGTCGCGCCTCTTCCTCATTAGCTATAAGTGGAGAATCCTTCCAGAAGTCTTCAACTTCTCCCGTATCAACTGTCACTACCTAATTTTTCAACAACACCATGCTCAGTGAAACAGATCTGTTCTTCAGTGTCTGCAATGTCTTTACTCAATTTTTTGATGGCGCCCTTCTCGGTGAAGTAGATACTCCCTTGGTTGTGCATTCTGCTTCAACATGTCCAAACTTGTGTCACTTGCAACATTTTTTTGCTGGGGCGGACTTGCGAGTTGGTTTTGTTAGATAGTAGTGAGGAAGAGTCGCTTGATGTTGCAGTCTCTCCACTTCGAACCCTAGAGTGCAACTTTTAGCGGTAGTAGTTTGGCAGAAACTGGCATTACGTTTCCCGTTTCATCATCATATCTTCTCGTCCCCCACTTCAACACTCCCGATCACGATTGAGGACAATCTTTCAATTAATTTCATCTTTAATGTTCGCAATCTCTCTCCGTATTTCCTCCCATGAGCGGGCTCGAGCATAGTTCCCTTGGAGACATGTTTGATGGATTGCACTGAGACAAGGGAGTCTAGAGTGGTGGTAGGCACTGGGAAAGCTCTCGGGGAGGTCTAAGGCCTGCTCGGAGGGAGCCAGCAAATAACAGGATGGCGGGGAAGCTGTCTATGGGGTTCTAGAAGGACAACAATGGGGTTGCGACCTGTAGGACGGCAGTCTAGATGAGTAGCAAGGGCTACGATAGCCTATAGTGAGGTTGTAGGAACGCTGGCGACAGTCTGGAAGAATAGCAAGGGCTGCGGTCTGCAAGAAAGTGGGTTGGATGGGCAGTTGGGGCTGCGACAACCTGGATGGAGGCTGCAAGAATGAACTGGCGCTGATGGCAGGGCAGCAAAGCAGATTGGGCGGTTGTTTGGATGGCAGGGAGGTGGTCGGAGGTGCTAGAAGGTGGCTAGAATGTTGGTGGATTGCGGGAGAGCGAGCAGCAACAAGAATAGTGAAGATAAACACCGCCTCAAATGGGGTCACAGTCGGAGCATCTTCCTCGTCGTCGAATACAATCCTTAGAAGGGAAGATACTCGGTAAAACTGAAATCAGATTTCAAAATCAAGACCCCGACCCTAGACACAAGAAATTTTATTTATAAAAAGCTTTACTCAATTTTAGGAAAGATTAAAATAGGAAAGGAATGATAACAAATTTCAGAATTTAAGCAATACTTTTAAAATAGAGAAGGAAATACAATCATATTTAAAATTTTAAGGCAAAGGAATTAAAATTAGAAGGAGAATAAAATCATATTTCATATTTTAAAAAAAAAAATTTTAAAATAAGAAGAGGAAATAAAATCATATTTCATATCTTAGGAAAGGATTTTAAATTTAGAAAATACTTAGGAAGAAAATGTGAGGGGGGGAAAAATGATAGATGAGAAAAGGAAAGGAGAACCAAAAAGAAAGAGGAAAGAAGGAGGAAACCCTCTGTGTCGTTCTCACAAAGTTTGGGAGCTTCGACCTCATTCGAAGAAGCACATGGATCCTTAAGATACGGCGGCAAGTCCTTTGGTAGGTTGATCATGTCGATACGGTCATTCCACAATACATTCTAGTAGAATAGGTAGTCATCCTCTTTTGGCACATCGTGAGAGGGCGTTGCATATAGAGGAAAGTTCCCGTAATGCAACTCTCAAGCCCTTACATTTGAAATCTTCTCATTCCACTTCTCGTGTTTAACATGTGGTGGTTGAGCGTAAGTATGTACGGAAAACTCAATTTTGGGATAAAATATGTGGCACGCTACGCTATTCTCAATGGCATCCACTCAAGAGAGGCCTCCTCCCCACATATAAGGACCTGGATCCCATTGCATAATTTTGTCCCCATCAAGCTCCTCAGGCCCACTACAAATTTGGGGTTCACCTCTTCTATCGGGACATCTAGCGATAGATAACATGTTGGATTGAAAATAACCGCCGAATAATCCCCCGTAATATTTCCAACTTGACACAAAATGACTCTTCTTCATACATGTAGGACCTCCCCCCGTAGGGATAACTCAGGAAGAGGTCTAACCATCTGCAAAAGTTGTATTTCTTTATTTGTGATGGCCATGTATCAAATGTCGGCTCGTCAAGCTCGTGATCCTTCTAGAACGTCAAGGTCAGACCAACTGTAGCTCCTATCAAGGTTGTGAAACGATACCTTGAGGTACCACAGTTTCATATTCTGTTTGAACGCTCATTACATCAAGGTCACTACCTTCTAGAATGGTTAATGTTACCTCAGCTAGAATCTCTATCTCGGAATCCACTGGAACTAGTCGCATCTCTTCCTCATTAGCTACAAGTTGAGAATCCTCCCAGAAGTCTTCAACTTCTCCTGTATCAACTGTGTCACTGCCTAATTTTTCAGCAACAGCATGCTTAGTGAAACAGATCTATTTTTCAGTGTCTGCAATGTCTTTACTCAATTTTTCGATGATATCCTTTCTCGATGAAGTAGATCACTCCTCTGGTTGTGCATTATGCTTCAACATGTCCAAACCTATGGCACTTGCAACATTTTTT